ATTTGATCAAAACGTATTTTCCCAAAAAATCTTTATTGGAATTTCTTTTTGTATGTTAACAGCAAACAAACTGTATTGCCTACATTTTGGCGCAACATAAAAAGGTTTTGCCCCAAAAAGGCACAAAGCAAAATTATTTTTGCAAAAAGGCTGTGCAGAGAATGCAGAAGACTCTCGCCAGCTAAGATAGTATTCAGAATAAAACTCCACTAAGTGGGTAGCAATCATAATAAGTCACACTCTTTGCGATTATTGCATCTATATAAGTTTAATTAAGCCAGCACTGAAATGTTCCTCCCGAAACTTGACCGTTCGTTGAATCTTTTTCTCCAGGGAAAGAAGAATTACTGGGAAAGGGCTCTTTCGGCAGTCTCATGAAGACATTTATTCTTGTCCAGCGTCTAAATTTGTAATCGTACAGAAAGGTTACTTTTTTTTATTATTTATATGTAGTAACAAATATATCTTTGATCGCATACTGAGTTAAGATCTGTCAGTAGTAGAGAGTTGTAGATCAGTGACCCAAAAAATGGCAAGATAAAAGCCAACGGCCGACTACAGCAGGGCCTTATAATACAGAAAATTGCGGTTACTCACCAAGAGAGACCGGTAAGCAAGAAGCAATCGGTCGCTTCTGACTGCAAACCATTACTCTCATGAACGAATGGACTTGGCACGGGAGAGCCTAAAGGTTGTCTTATACTAGGATGGTAGGTGTGTTTGAGTTCTTCGTACTCTGCAAGCTTGGACCCATGAGTGATCCGGACACTTTTCTTTTTCCCTTCCACAGTGAGATGTTGCTCATTCGAACTTAATTCCGAGTCCTCCTTTAAGCAGTCCAAACTTCAGGTGGCTTCTGTTCAATAGAAGTGCTTCTACACTGGCGTTAAATTAATACTTTTGAAGACATCTGCAAAATTTTGCTTGCATCACCTCATGGATGAGAAAGACTCGATTTATCTACCAAAATTATCTAATTCTATCACCTGACGATGATAAAAACCATTCTAAAGACATTAGGAAGAGCATGACTTAGAGATAAAATGAAGACTTAGCATTGATGCACTGTCAAATCGCGAAAGGAAAAATTATTTACGCCATTTAATTGAGCTAGGATCTACTGTACTCTAAACTGTAGCTCGACATATACTTGCACTTTGAAAGAAAACGTTCTGGACATTTCCGAATCGAAGCCATAGTCTTGCAACTAACTTTATCTCAGCTGGTACCGAAGCCAAGGTTTTTGCTATATTCCGCAGAGCCGAAACCAAACTCTACGAGCCACCCCTCATTCCCATATTGTAGGTAGTGAAGTTACCACCGCAACAATCAGAGGAAGGAGAAGGCCTCCAATCCGTTGAAAGGTTTAGGTGAGTTAATGACGAATGCGGTGCTCACGGCAATGAAGAAGAAGAAAAAGAAAAAGAGATATTTTCGGTTTATCAGTTCTTCTTCGAATTCAATATCTAATAGAAAATTCTTTACGATAGATTCTAATGAGCTACTTTTTTCTAATATTTAATTCAAAAATAAAAAAATCACACTTACGAGCCCAAATAAATAAATAAATATTCAAAATCCTTACAGTCATTTGAATCGAAACTTCCAAGCAAACAAATGCAGAGCTACGCAAACGAACTGCCTTTGCCCCACACAGACACACACACACAGACAAACAGCAGAGGAAATACGGGCATAATAACAGCAGTCACTAAGGGCGCTGCTCAATTTTTTCAATTTTTTAAATCGTTTGCTATTTTGTGGCAATCGCTCCTTCTCCATGTTGCGCTTTTCCCCACCCAGTTCTTCATTTCCATCCGGCCAGTCCTCTTCAGGACGATCCGCAAATTTTTTTTTTTTTTTTTTTTCATTTTTATTATGTTATTTATTTATCTATTTCATTGTTGCCACTTGCGTACACTCGGCTTGAGGCTTTGTTGTTGTGACTGACTGACTATTCATTTCAATTTTATTAGGAGAAAAATATGTCATTGGTTAAGAGTGAAAAGGGTTTAAATACACTTTTGAAAAAAATTTACATTTTTTATACCGAAGTGAGGCACAAAGAGTACTCCAAATGCCAGTTCAATGCAATGCCAATAGATGGTGGATAAAGTTCCCAGATATAAAAAACATCCCAGAAAATTGCGAAGCTGACGAGCTAGCAAGAATCATACCTCTTTCCTCGACAAAGTACCTTTCAAGGGCCAATAACAGCTAGATGGGTGAAACGTAACTAGGCCGATCTGTCCATCGATCGATTTACCTCATCTAAACAGAACCTGAGTATAAAAACTGGCGTAATTACCGGACAATTTTTGATGAATACTCATGTTAGAAGGACGGACGACTTCTCTAATGACTTCTGGCTGCAGTGACATAGACGAGAAAGCACTACCTCGGCCTCTGCCTCGCCCTAAGTGCGGCCTGACCTCATTTTCTAGATAATCGATACTTTTACTGGTTTGTTGATATAGCGCCAGTCCAGTCCAGTCCAGTAAATAAGATCGTGAGCTTCTTAAAATATACTAAGTGGTTTCAGCGTCAGGACGCTGAGATCTCAAAACGGGCCAACAGGAACGTGTATGTGTTGTTGTTGTTGTTGTGCCAGCTTACACAACTCCGTCTAAGAACACGCGATGTTAGTCAAACCCGTGGAGATCATCTAACGGAAGGTCCAGGAAACGCGCTATTTAGACGTGTACAGCCCACTGGAAGAGTGGTGTCTAATCAGTGATTTCGTTCGTGCGAGTCATTGCATTTAATTATGTCGTGGTCAAGTCTTGATAGTTAAGAGTTGGGTTTAGAGTGTTTAATAACTTAATTGGGATCCCGCGAGGCAGCTCGAGCTCTTTCTCCTATGGATGGAGCTGGAATTCCGACCAGGCTAGTTTAGACAGGTTGGTTACTGATTCGTTTTGAATGGCGTTTAGAGTCTGTCTGCGAGTCTTATTGTCCCAGCTTTTAGTAGCTGTTTGATTCTAATGATAGCATTCTAGCAGAAGTTAGTGGAGCATAGATGTCATCAGTAGATATCCCGATTCAAACGCTTGTACATTTTTCAGCTGCATCTCGTTAATGAACAGTGCCCAAATCGGTGCGAGTTAATTAATGAGCGACCGGTCAAATACCTTGTAAGATGCAATTAAAGTTCGTTTGTCTTTTCCCAAAGTGCTGCTGGTTAGAGATTTGCGGATTTAGCTGCAGCTCTGTGTCTTAGTGGCATTGACAGTCGCTATAATATTTCAGTCCTTTCTAAATAACGTGAGAAAAGGTTTTTTGTATTCATCTTCGCTGCCTTTTCATATGATGTTAGGGATCTTGTAGGTTCTTAAGCCAATTCATCTCGAACCGATCCATCTCTTCCAACTCTTTCGTTAAAAAACTTGTATGGATCCATCATCATCTTTTTCATTCTGGCAGTCTGAGGCCTTGTCTGACATCCAGCTCAGTGCAATAGATTCCCACCTAGCGTTCTTTTAAACTCTATTTTCTCACTTGAACTTCCATAAACACAGGCAGACTTTTCACGGCTCTCGTTCTATTGCACTGGATGGCACAACTCCACCCATGATAGGGAAAGTGCTTTCACGAGGGACTTAACACAACAAGTATACCAAGCGGGCGAACCGTAAGCGTTTTGTAAGTACAATATTAACATCATTAGCGAATTCTTTATTCTAGCCCTTGTAGAGAATCATCGATAACAAACATTTACTTTAGTGAACCCACCAATCCCTGTTTAACTCTGCTGCCTCTATATAGAGCGGATATTAGGTGTGTTCAGTTAACGGTTGTAAGTAACGGAAGAAAAGCATAGACATACATATATTGGTGTATAAAAGTTTCTCGAATGACAAGACGAGTCGGGCGTTGGTCTATCGGCCTCAGTCCTGCTTTGAAATCCTGCCAGCCGCTTGGCGTTTAATATAAATATCAGCCGAGTATGTAATGTACGATTCCAACAGGACTTAGGGTAGGTTAGATAAAAGTAGTTGCTGGCCGTCAACTCACTTAGGCCACCAAACGGTGCCACTGTGATACATGGGAACTATCGTATCTCACTCGAGACTATAAAGATTGCCGTCCCTTGATATTTCAATCTACTCAATTCATGGGTCATTCGCTAAGGAGGTTGCTTATAATTTCAAGTACCTTCTCTTGTCTGCAGCTTCGGCAGAAATCATCAGATGCTACGCCAATGATGGCCAACAGAGGCGGCAACGTTATTTTGATGCTTTGGTTTGACTAACAAAAGCACAAACAATTAGGGTAAGCGATCTGCTGTCTACTAAGCCAGATAAAAGTTTGACTGTAGATCAAACGATTTCCTCGCAAACTGAATAAGAAACTGGGCCGCCGTATCATCGGGAGCTGTACGTCCGCAACCGCCCTACGCCGGCTTGAGTTTGTCTTTTGCATTATTTAATTCAAGGAACTCCAAGTGAGACGTTGCATCCTCCCCGCTTCGACATCCAGTGGGCGGGAAGTTAAATAATGGACCCTGGGGCCGCTGAGATGCCTCAGCCAACGTATAATACCCATTTGACACTTTCATCATCCCATGCCGGCCACATTGTCAGAGACACGTTACAACCACGACTTCTCAGGACTTTTTGATTTTGAAAAGAAAAAATGTTGAATGAAGTCTTTCTTCATTGCCAGCTGAGTTCCATAAAGAAGAGAGACGCTGGGCTCATATTCTCAAATCAAAAAATTTCATAAAAACTGCTTGGAAAAAAATGGAATAAAATTTCCAACAGATCATTTTTTTTATAAGAAGAGCTCAGTTAAGTGCACTTTAAATCTCTTTGAAATTTTTTAAAATTTAATTTCTCGAAAATTTTGCAAATTCGACTTATTCACTTTTTGCACTAAACGAAGACTCTATAAAGATGTACATACATACATGCAAGACTATTTGTATTTATTCAATTTATTTACTTACTTATTTGTGCTTTCTTTCTTCATTCTTGCTCTTTTTCTCATGTAAATTACAGATGAAAATCCGGCGGCCATGCAAAAAAGCAGCGCCAGTTCAATACACACAACAACAACAGCAACAACGAAGACAAAGCTCCAAACAAACACGCTGTACCTACTGTTGCTGACAGCAATAGCGACGACAACAGCAGCAATGGCAGCAGCAGCGACAACAACAACACTGCTGCTGGAAACACTAATGACAACGGCGCTCGTAATAACGAGTACAACAGCAATAAAAGCAGCAACAACAGCAACGAGGCTATTATCCTGCTACTTCTCTACCGACACAGTGCGACAGGAAGTGAGCTGCTGTCGTGGTCAGTATCACCATCGGCAGCATCATCAGCAGCACCAGCTGGCGCTACACAAGCAACAAAGCAAACAGTTGACGTTCGAGTTGGAGCTTTAGTTGTGACAGTGGCAGTAGCTGGAGTAACAACAAAAACAAAAGCAACAGCAGTAGTGTACTAAACAGCCATAAGGGGATCCTGCGGAATGTCTCAAGCAGTGGTCTTTAGTGATATTTTTGTTGTAGTTTTCTATTTTTGCTTCTTTGCTTTCGATTGCGCTTTCGTTTCATTTACCAGATTATTTTAACGGTTGTTTTAGATATAAATGTATTTTTTATTAGAGTATCTTTATATATTTTGGCCAGTTAGAGCTGTCATCGAGCTGAGTTTATCGAAACAGAGGCATGAACCGAAAAACTGCTACCAGCTGCATCAACCGAGTAAGTCTTATAAGAGTTGGAGCCGGGAACCAAGCTCTCATGGTATATTTCACGTAGCCGATGTAGGAACTAGAGACTGCACAACTATCTGAGGTCCGAGCACTTTGCAAGGTGCAATCAATCGCAATTCTACTTTCTACTTCAGACCAAACCTGGGCTTCGACAAAGAGTTGAGAAACCCAGATATTGAGTCATACTTTGAGATTAGTATGAACGGAAGCTGGGGTTTCAGTGGTAATGTGAGATAATCCGCAGCACCACTCTTTCAGCACTGAAGTCTTAATGAACACTGTAAGTGCAAGACGTCCGTTTGAAAATACTGTGCCAGCCCCGGTTGGGCTTACCAAGAAATTTCGGAGCATAGGTCTTCGATGCTTCCGAATGTGCAGATCATACTCATCTCACCCTTATCAGGACCGTAAATGATCACCAAACAAACAGCCAAATCTGCTCCCACATCTCAGATGTTAGTCATAATATCAATACCAACAACAATGTCAGCCTTGAAGTCCAATGTAGAGAATTTTTGGCCAAGAGGTGATACTTCGACTAACCAGCACCAAACTCTACAAGTACCGTACTGTTATGGTCATGACCTCAGATTGGCAGAGAAAGAGACAAATCTGTATTGTGCTAGAAATCAAAAAGAGGAGGATCTGGTGGTTGTACCGGCCTTGTCCGACTAAATGCTAAATGGTGAAAAGAAGAAACAACTGGCGTCACTAAATAAGCGGAAGAAATGAAAGAGCTCGATGAGAGCGTAAGTGTCGTCCACGTTTAGCCGAAGTTTAAAAACTTCAAAGCCGTAGTATTTGACCCCTACCGAGGCAACCGAGAGTTGATAGTGCGCGGAAGCCGAAGATTTGAAGTTTATTACCATCGAAGACGGGCACATTCGGAAATACAGCCGGCCATATCGTCACTTCATATCCGACACCGAAGTTCCGCCATCAAAGTTCCTCTAACAAACATCGTAGCTGATGTTACAAGCTAAAGCTGCTGCTGCCGTTGGCTAGCGACACTGTCAACCCAGCTGATAGTAACAAGCATAACAACAACAACAACGCTGGTAGGTTATTACTGTAAACATAATGTCAGGTGCCTGGCAGCTCTTTCACATCGCCGGGCTTGAATGCGTTTGTCAGTGGCAGTTGCTGGACGTAAGCTCATCAAGAACAGCAGCAATAGCGGCAACAGCAAAAACACTGCAATGCAAGCATGATTGGTAGCCGCAAAACGGAAAAAGAAACTGCGAGTGTTAAGCTCGCTATGAGCTTTACGTCTCATTCTTCTGGGTTTTCTTCATTTTCTTCTTGTTCCACAATGTCGTTCCTGCTTCTTCTCCTTCTCTTGCTTCCTTTAAATTTATTTTACTCTTCCACGCAGACTGCGTCTCTGCCTGCTCTGGGTCTTACTCTGAACTTTTGCATGCAACCAACTTTAGTGACTACACATTCTTCCTGTCTCGTGCTGACGCATTTGAGCAAAGAAATTCCAAGCACACACATTGCTTCGCAGGGCTTACGGAAATCAAAAAAAAAAAACAAATTACAGAAGAAGACTAAGCAGATGACGTTCCAAATAGCTGACGTCTAAGAAAATGTCGTTGCCAATGAGGAAGACCACCAGGCAGTGAAACAATCTCATTGAGAGACTACCGTCTTTGTACAGCGACAACGCAACATTGCAGCAATAAAACTCTATGGGACATGCCACTCAAGGGAGAACTGCGTATTGGAAAGTCCACACCCATACATGCGCACTCCCACACACACGCCGTTTACAAGGAATTCCTTAGCTGCCTGGGCATTGTTGTTGGCGCGTACTCTGAGCCCTTATGGACATTGGTTACTTCATTTGCTGATTGCTTGTCCGTACAGGAAGCGTTGTAAATATGTAAAATATTACTTGGGCTCTGGATTCACGGTGACATGAGAAAAGGGGCGGGGAGGGGAGGAAGTAAGCAAATCAAATATTAACAAAGCACCAAAATTACGAAGAGGCAAAAAAAGAAAATAAATAAATAGGATCAAATTAAGCAAATAAATATAGACGATGTGCAGGCGCAACGAGTGAGACAGCCGAGGTGAATGATTCACTTACCGAGTAGAGAATTGAGGCAACAGAACACAACAAACCGCTTAAATATTTGCATTTCATTTTGTTAAAAGGCCAATGAAGTAGACAAAGAAATGGAATTCGTGGTAATTCTTAAGTCGACATCAATTACAGTTATACAAAATATTATGCACGCAGCGCTCAGAGAGAGAGAGAGAGATATTTTGTATCATACAAAGCTCTTTTCCTTTTAAAGCTTTATAAAAAAAATATTTTTAGCTCTTCTTCTTCTTATATCTCCAGAAATTGTCACAAACCACCACGAGCCAAAACCAATGTGTTTGTGCTATACATAAAGTTCCCGATGTTTCTTTTGCAGTTTGGCTTAAGCGTAGTCTCAAATCGTGGTTTTTAGGTTCCTCTCACAAAAACTGGTTGATGCTTCTTCGATTGAACAATCTCTTTCTACATTAATTTACTTTTCGAGCTCTTTACTAATTTTCGTTTAAGAATATAGTCGAAGTCTTGAGGTTCTACTTCGTCACTAGCGTCCACACCGCTTACACTCACCCGCCTTTTCGTTGCGTGACCCATTCATTTTAATTGAGGATCTACACGTCCTCTGTTAGCACCGGCAGCTCCAGCATCGACCACATAATCTAGCCAGCGTAGTTGCAGGCTCTTGTTTTAGCAGTATTCTCTTTTGTGTGGCACGTCCGTGCACATGGTCTTATATATAGAATAGAATGATTGACTTTTCTGTAAGAATCCAAAGTCTGCGGACATTCTTCCATTCGATACTGCTCAAAGTTGTTCCAAAGAAAGTCTACAGTGCTTCAGATAGGCATTTCTGCGCATAAGGAATTCGATTGCAATTAAAGTCTATGAAACTTCTCTTCTCAATACAAACTCATAGACTTGGTGATATGTTTGATTAAAAACTTGATCTGGATTCGATTCTCTAATGTCACTCAAACGAAGCCACTCAAACAAATCAGATCAAAAATGCTCATCACTTTTTTTTACATTAACTCACCGCTCATATTGTCTAAGAATATGAACCCTCAACCCTCAAAATTCTGTTTCTAAGATACGAAGAATGTTCGAAACATGCCCAGCTCACTCTGCCGCAGAAGAGATGAGTTGGTTGATCTGGAAATTACAAATCAATGTCAATTTCAAAGAGTTAAGTTGATGCCCCTTTAAACTGGACAGCTTCGCTAAAGGGAGTCTTAAGCAATCCCCAGCCTACTTGCCTTGCCATCATAATCCATGTTACCTAAGGGACTAGGTTGCTTACCTTATCTATTTCTATCCTTCTTAACAATAAGCTGGCCTCTTTAGCCTTGTTCACATCATGTACATCTATGAACTTAGTGCCTGCGAAATATTTTACCAAGATTTAGAAGCTCTGTAGCAGTAAAGATAAGTAATGCATGTCGTCAATCCCTTCTTATTCCTGCTTAATGATGACTAATAACCTAGGGGTGAATGCTATCGGCAAATTGTATATGGCGATGTCTCAGAAATACTCCACGTATTGTATGATAATAATCTTTCCTCCTTTCTAAAACAGTTATCGTACTCATCTACAATCTCCCATCGACGCTCAAACTCATCTTCACAGTTTCAGTGTATTTTGTTTGATACCGCGACGGTATCGCTCAAAAGCTTACAAAACGAACGACACCGCCGACGCTTTTGGAGAGAAAGAAGATTTTAGGCTACACTAAAAGAGACTAGATGCCACTGGAATGTGTCGGCTGACAGGGAACTTGCAATCAAAAGTTTTATGGATGTATCAAGAATAACCGGCGGAGCAAGCGATGAAATCTATTGCGCTAACTTAAATCCTCGACAATTATTCAGAGTTCTAGGCTACAGATTACCACAACAGCTATACGTCTGGCGAACGGAATAGTCAAAGTAGAGCAAAAGACACTAGAAATCACATGGAGTCCGAGAGAACTGTAGCATAGTGCATAATCTGTGGCTTCTCCTCATTATTATAAGTCCGATATTGATCAACTCTAAAGAAATGGCTGATATTTCATGAAGAGATTGGAGATCAATAAGCTCTGGTAGGTCCACTAAGACGATTAATTTTAATACACACTGTACGTTAGATAAATAATAAGAAATTTATTTTTGGACGGCCTAAGAAGATATGCAGTAACACACCTACAATGTGCGCATATTTACATATTTTCGGGAATTTTAACAAAAATAATTCAATATAAATATGAGTCAGTCAACTACAATAAACAGAAATCTGATTAATAAATATGATGATTTCACTTAACGGTAAAGAACGGCATGAATGGTCAATGGCTACAGAGCATCTAATCACAAAAATAAAGTAAAAGCAAACAGGTATGAGCAGAAGTGCCGAGAGCAAGCTCCGTGACGCTACAAAAGCTGGCAGCAGGCTCTCCCTCGGGGTTGCATGAACCACTTACTATTGTGGAAATTTAAATGAAACGAAATTAATTCAATGAACTGGAAACTAGCAAAGGTTTGCACCTAAAATACGTAACGGATTTATGGAATATTTATATTGATAAAAACTACTTTCATAATTATAATAAATTTTTTATTTTTAAAAACCAAATTAATCTAACAGTATTTAAGGCCATTATTTAATCAAAGAAATCTTTGGATGATTTTTAGTTTTCAATTTTTTTCTCCAATATTTATTTTAAATAATAGTAATTTAATATAGCGAAGTAAGTACATAAAAAAAGTTATATAAATTTTTACTTGTAAATATTATAATAAAAATATGACACTAATGCAAGCACTAAATAGTGAGTACGTACACACATACAAATCTACTCTGTAATTTCAAGAAAAAAAATCGTTGTTTTTCCTGCTGACTATTTTGGTGCTATATAAAAATTTATTTGAGTAATAGAAACCGATTTAACACACACTGTGACGTAGTTAAAAAAAATCAAAAACACAAAAAAGCAAGCGTATGGATAAGAAATTGCAAATTTAATGATAACAACCGAAGATTTAATTAAGCACAGCAAAATTAAATTAATAAAAATATTAAAAATCGGAAAAAATAACAAAATTGAAAAAAAAAAATTCAAATTAAACAAACTTGAATAAAAAATAAAAAAAATAAAACAACATTAAATAAAATAAATTCCAAATGAAAAGTTTAAAGAGATATTAAATTCAAAAAAAAAATTAATAAAATAAAAATCCAAAGCAAATTCAAATAATAAATTTGAAAAAAAAATCTAAATAAATAATTGAAATAAAAAAATTCGAAATAAAGGGAAAGAATATGGGACAAAAAGGAAAACAGAAACTCACTAAGATACATTTATATGAAATGAAATTAAAAAAAAAAATTAACGAATTGAATAAACTTAAATAAAATTAAATAAATCAAATAATAATAAATAATATATTCAAATTAAAAAGAATAAAATAAAATGAATTCAAATAATAAATTTAAAAAAAATTAAATGTATTAATGATATAAAGGAAAAAATAAAGATAAATAAAACCCATTGAATTAAATTAAAGCACAATCAAATAAGGTAAAATAATGAAATTCAATTAAAAAGTGGTAAGGAAAAAAGGAGTAAAACAAATGAGGCGATTTTCAACCACTTTTAGGCAGACGACGAAATACAACCCTGTACTTTCGAAAACACAAAATGGAAAATCAATTTTTTAACGAATATATAATTAAAAAATTTAATAAATGCCAAAAATTAATATAAAATCAATGAAATTTGATGGATTAAAATAAAAAAAAATAAAGTAATATTAAAGAAAAATAATAATAATTAAAATAAGTAAAATAAAATAAGAAGTAACAATATAAATATGAAGAAAAAAGTGAGCAAAAAATGTAAATTAAATAAAATGCAGAAAAATATAATTTTTTTATAACACAAATTAAGTTCATTTAAATTAAATACAATAAAGAAATAGAAAAGTAAAGAAGCTAAAATTAAAAATAAATAAATAATACAATAGAATAAAATTAAAAAAGAAAATAAATGAAAATAAAAAATTAAAGAAAAAAAAATAAAGCAAAACAAACAAAATTTAAGTAATAAAATAATAATAATTATTTATTATAGAATAAACTATAACATAATAGAAAAATAAAATAAAATTAAAGCAAATAATAAACAAACAAATTAAAATAAAAAAAATCAGTGAAATAAAATAAAAGAAAAACGTACTTAAATTAAATTAAAAAAAAATAAACAAATTAAAATTAAATGAAATAAAAATTAATAGTACATTAAAAAAGAATAGAAAAAAAATAAAAGAAAAGAAGAAACATAAATTTATAAAAAGAAAAATAAAATAAAATAAAAGAAATCAGAATTTAATAAAATAAAAGAAAAACCAAATTAAATTAAATATTAAATGAAAATGAAAAAAATTATACAAAATAAATAAAATAAAATAAATAAAATAAACATAATATGAAATATTTATAATAGAATAAAATTAAAATAAAGAAAATTAAATGAAATTAAAATTAAATTAAAACAAAATAAGAAAATAAAATAAAATAGGTAAATGAAAGTAAAACAACGAAATAAAAAAAAAAAAAAAAAAAAAAAATGAAAANTAAATTAAAATTAAATTTTTATAATAGTGTAAATTAAATCAAAGTAATAAATTTAAATTAAATAAAATTAAATAAATGTAACTAAAAAAAATTAAACAAAATTGAATAAATTGAAAGAAAATAGAGATACAAAAATGAAAGAAAATAAATATAAACAAATTAAAATAAGAGAAAACAGATTAAAAAAATAGAAAAAAAAATAAATTCAATTAAATTAAATAAATAAAAAAGTTAAACAATATAAAATATAACAAAACAAATTAAAATTAAATGAAATAAAAAATAATTATTTATTATAGAATAAACTAAAACAGAATAGAAAAATAAAATAAAAGAAAGTAAAAAAATGTAAGTAAAATAAAAGAAATTGTTTAACTAAATAAATTACATTATATATAAAAACATAGTAAACTGAAACAAAACAAACCTACTTAGTGTATAATTTAATTTAATAGTATTAAGTGCTTATTTAAAGAAAAACTTTTAGCATATAAATGGTAGATATACATACATACATACATACATATATTCATTTGTTATAACTAATGTAATACATATACATATTTACATACATATACAGATAATATAACTGCATAGCATTTAAGTTCAAACATGAAATACAATATTATAATAATAATTACAACAACAACTTTAGCATTTAAGAGCAAAGCAAAAATAAATTGAATTAAAACGAATGCATGCGTGTGCGAGTGTGCGTTTGTGCGAGTGTGCGTGTGTGCGTGTATGCAATGAAAGTAGTATAAATTGAAATTAAATAAGTATGTATGTATAAATGAAAAACAAATTAAATAAATGGAAATAAAATTACAACAAAGACAATTCTCGTATTAAAAGTAAAGAAACGAAATAAATTAATGCAATGCAAAAGCGTTGAATGAACGAACGGGTAAGTACACGTACGTATGGATGAGTATGTAAGTGCGTAAGTAAGTAATTTAATCAAAATGGAAGCGTAAACGACAAACAGTACTATATATATATATATATATATATACACATATATATATATATATATATATATATATATATATATATATATATATGTATATATTCAAATATCTCTTTACACAGTTGTATGTGTGCACCTGAATGAGTTAATTCGATTGAATAAATTGCATATATGTGGGTGTTTGTGTGTGTGTGTGTTTGTTTGTGCTCACATCTGCGGTCAACTATGTAAAGTTTTTTAGGTTATATTTACATATACATACATACATACAAATGTTTGTATGTGCGCCAGCGTTTCACATTTGTGTTTTTTTTTTGCTAAATAGTAAATTAATTTCCGTTATCATCAAATTTCCAATTCTGCTTGCCTTTCTCAACTCCAACTCCAACTCCAGCTCCAACTCCAGCTCTAGCAACCAACACTTTTTTTCACTTACGTTCCACACCGCTAACGGTATTAATTGGAAAATTACATTTCTTTTGAAATTCATTTAACGGTTTTGCTGGCAAATCGCACGCTTTGGCAAGTGATGAGCATTGCGTTGGAAAACAATGGCGGTGAAAAACCGCACGCTCAAATGTCTGTCAAATTGTTTTTCTGTTTTTTTTTTTTTACTGTAAAGGCAAATTACTTGAAAAAAGAATTTAATTTTTTTTTTTTAATTTTTTATCCTCATTTTATTAACACTTTGAAATTTGATAGTGTTGAATTTAATGAAAATTGCATTTTCACTTTATCGAAATAAAAATTTAAACATTAAAGAGCAAACGAGGGCAATAAAAAGGGTGTTTTGAAAATACACATGCAACACTGTTTTTTTTTTTTTTTTTTGAATAGGCGCTCTGCAGTAGTCCAGGTGATGTAATGGATAATCGCGGGGTCACTGCACAGCTGTTTAAAGTCATTGTCCTTGAAGATTAAAGGCTAATATGAAGACCATCTAAGTTGGGGACGAGTAGGTCCTTGCGACCTTTACTCCGACGGTCATATAAAAGATCGCAAATTTGGTGTCGGATACGTGGTAGTTAAAGATTCCGTCGCCTTGTCGTGTCCTGAGATAAACAATAAAAAACGAAAAAGGCCGAGATGTGTGAGTATGAAAAGCTTGACACGATGGCTTACAGAAGGTTTTAAGACCGGAACAGACTCTTGTAGGACATAAACAGGTTATCTTAGAGACGGATGGTCAGATTATACTGAATTTATGGAGGAAACACTTGTCCAGCCCAATCGATGACAATAGAATAGCTGTTTCTTTACACGGTTTTAAAAGAAGAAAAAAGTTCGAATTACAATCGCAGGCTTGAAGAACAACAAAACGATCGATAGATTGCCGACCGAACTAATAAAACATGGAGGCGATGAAATGCCAAAGTTCAAGCATCAATTACCGCGGAGTAAGCCAACTCAATATCGCCTATAAGGTCCTACCGAGCGTATTGTGTGAAAGACTGAAGCCGACCATCAACATTCTTATTGGACGTTATCAGTATTACCTTAGACCTGGATTATCTACAGGTGTCCTGATATAATTATGCGCCAAATTTTGGAAGGCACCCGTGACGATTTTAAAGCAGCCTTCAATGATAAACTTTGGACTGGGTAGACTATTAAAGAGTAAAGTCCTCTCTCGACGAACAAAAATCCAAATCTACCAGTCGCTCGTCATTCCCCTTCCCTTATATGATGCGGAGGCATGGACGATGCCAACATCTGATCTGTCACCGTTAGCAGTTTATTACATAAATGTATTGTGTTCAGCAAATCAACACTCCGACTTTGAGTATTTTCCTGCTGCACTTCACGCCGGTAGAAATAGAAGAAAAGGAGAACTTCCACTACCTGGGAAATATCAGCTAGAGAAGGAACTGCCTGTGCTTCGTATTTCCAATTTCAGACAGCTATTTTCACTAAAATACGAATTCCTAATCCACTTTAGATCAGAAAGTCTTTTTGAGGTGGTTACCCACGACTCCCTTCAGGATAAGATGCTACTCTCTGCGTTTACTTCAATTTCAGGTATTTAGAGGTTAGAAAGATCTACTCCTCCTCTGTATACGTACTACGGACGGACGTGTGCAGTACACGTAATTAATAATACAAACGAACTAAAAATTTATTAATTTCTGTGAAGGACATCGGCATGCAGCAAGCTTAACTCTGTTAAAACGTGAAGATCGTTATGAACTGCCCCATCGAGCAACCATACACTCATGTCTTTGAAGTAGACCAGGGAGATCAATCTTATGAGTCGCGGTTTTACTTATATTGAAGGCCTTCTCCGGGGAAATAGTGATATATTCCGGAAGCTTGAAGTTTTGTCCGCGTTCAAGCTCTGTGCAAGAGGTTACTCCTCTCCACAGAGGTTTTTCAAACTTTCGACTTTAAAGTTCCCATCCTAATGAGCCACAAAAGTTACTCCGTTCCTACATATACAAACTCGCCTCAAATATCAGACAGTCAACGAGCCCAGACAAGTCGCTGCAATTCAAAGAGCTGACCATAACAAAGCTGCCAGATGTCAAAGGAGTGGTTAAGCGGAAATTGTTAATTCAAATGCCAACTTAAAACAAGAGTTGTTGCTGTGAAAAAAAATAAAGAGCTGAAATGGCGGAGGGGAAATTGAGAGCACGAAAACCTGTTCCACGACTTGGTGGAATGTGATCAATGCGTGCAAGAGAAAAACCTTTGTGGTGTGTGATGATTTTAAAATTACTTCAACAGAGAGGACTGGAGTGATGCCTTTAAATCAAACTGAAGTTATGAAGTTTCGAAGCCGATTATGCGTTCTTTGGTACCAAATCAGCAGGTGGATGATGGATATCGCTATTGTTAAATGTTAAATCCAACGGAACCACCAGTCTTTAGGAACCGAAGTCGTGGCCTTCTCTCGCTGTATCAAGTAAGAATCAAAAGTAGCTTTGGTAATTACTACAGTAATGATAGTCCTTTGTCGGATGAAAATCCGGGTCGTTTTGGTATAAAGATCAGACTATAGCGGAAACCTTTGGATTTTAGTCGCCTCTTTCGACTCGTTCTGTTAAAAGGTCCCGACTGTCGCGGTAACCTTTGGATTTTAGACGCCTCTTATGACGGAATGCTTCATCGTTTGAAAGCTATTGAAGCTCCACCTGCCGGGAATGGAAGGAAGCCAGTCTTAAGTAACGCTGAGATCCATCAATGAATTCAGTTCTTTGCTATGGCTATTTTTGTCTTGAAGAAGATCGAAAGCTTCGAGATGTTTAAGCCGAAATATTTCATATCTCTTGTTTTCATAGAACCGACACCCTTTAACAAGGAGTACTTTAGCAAAAATGGTGGCGGAGTGTAAAATAAAATTAGAGCTTCGAATCTCTCGGAAGAAAGGTCACATCCATCGCCCTATCTATTAAACATCAGGCAAGACAAGTCTTAAGTAATGTCGAGCTCCACAAACAAGTTTCTTTTGTGAGATCTTGAGTAGGAACCGTAAATGGAAGAACTTGAGTGGGAGGAGCTTAAAAGTTAAAAGCTTACCTTTAAAGGGTCAGAGTGTTTTTACATGGAAAACCTTAAAAAAGGTGGAGTCTATGAAACTAGCCAGAAGAAAACAGTGAATTCATTTATGTCGGAACTGTGGTTAAGGCGAAACTTCATAATTTACCTCTTGCGAACTAGAGTTAGACGAGCCTTCAGGGAGATCAGAAGTATCATGTTTTGAAACCGAACTTATGCATGCCTTTTACTTTAACATAGCCGGAGTCCGAGTGGAAGCTAGAGTTCTTCGAAGCCGAAATCTCTAGCATTTCTAGTAGTAACCGGGGAGACCAGCGACTCTCATAAATATAAGCTGAGTTCAATTTGTTGGATCTTGATTTCGAACCATGAGTTGAGACAAGCCTTTTCTGCTACTCTGGAACTAGAGTTGGCGGTTCCTTAAAGTTATCTAGTGACAGAAATCATGCATACCTTTTATCGAAGTTGTGTGGTATTTTCATCCCTTGGAAGCTATGGTTGGGTAGGAGACTTTTCGCATTACCATTTATTGGGCTTCGACAACGAGCTCGAAAGCTTATACCGGGAAGAGAGTCGAGGTAGACATAAAGTCGGTCAGAAGTCTCGATCTTACGGAGGTACAGCCATACTCGATTCCAATTAGCATAGGACCGGTGCCAAATTTGGATATAAGTGCTTCGCCGTGGTACGAAATTATCTCCGATTCTCTGTACTAAAGTAGTCTTATCAGAAGACAAGTCATTTTTTTATAAGCAGAGTTTTATAAGACGAGGAAAGGCTCACGGCGGCATTCCGGAACTAAAGTGATGTACTTTCCAACCACCCATTGAAATTCTCTGAAGTCATTGTAAAAAGGAATTTAGTTTTGCTCCGAGCTTTTCAAATTCGTCTCATTGAAACCGTTGTAGGCTTCGAGTTATACTAAGACCTTTTCAAAATATCCCTTCTTTAGGAACCGAACATAGAAATCGTTGCGTCCCTAAACTACACCAACATGCGGAAGTGTGATTCGCTAAGGCTCCAAAGGTTTCATCACTTTACAGGTTGAGTGAAATGTAAAAGCGGAAAAAGGGACCAGCTCACCTGCACATTTGAGGGCGACAGAACGTTCATAATTAAAAACGCGACTAACTCACACGTCAGCTCACGCCACCATTTTTCCTCCACGCCACCCCAGGTGACAGATGTAGCCCACACACACAAGCAATCACACATAGTGTGCAGCAGAGTGCCACCAAATGCCAACACATGCCACGTACCTGCGTGCCTTCAAGCAGGTGAAGTCTCTCGACAATCAGGAATCCATCAGTGACAAATTAACAAGCAGAACAGCAACAGCAACAGCAACAGCCAAACGCCACAACGCCACATCGCGTGCAACCAACGAGAGCGCCGAGTGGCAGCTTGATGAAAGCGTCGAAGCGTAAAGTCAAAAGTAGCTAAGCGCATAAAAACGCATTAGAGGAGCGCATATTTTTCCAGCGCCCACATGCAGCATTAGCGGATGCGAAATTAGCTGGATTGGGTGTGGAGAGGGAATGCATGTGTGGCGCTCGTTAAGCGAAAGTTATGCACACATATGCCCTGCAACGATACAGGGGACATTCAACAACAACACACACACACACACACACTCATTGTTGCCATTAGGCTTTGTGGCCTTCTCGGTTACCGCAACGGCTTCAGCAGCAGCCGCCGGAGTAACAGTTCCAGCTGTACAGTCAATTGTCGCCCCCATCGGCAACGGCATTGGTAATAATGATGGCGCGGATCGGGCGAGAGAGCTCATGACGCGCTGTTTAGCATGAAATGCGGCCAAAGCCAAAGCCAAAGCCAAAGATACAGGCGAAGTGGAGCAGCATGTGTGAAAGCTCAGCAGCGCTCAGTAGCTAAAGCAGGTCAGAGGCGAAATTGCCATTGGCGTTGATTGTGTTTGACAGTTTGTTTGATTGCGCATATATTAGTGTGTGTGTGTGTGTGTGTGTGAGTTTGTGTGTGCGTATGCGCTTAAGTGTGTAAGCGTTATCTTATTGACACAAGCAGGAGAGTGCCGTTGCCGTTTGATGTAATTCATTGGCAGCGCTGGGAGATTTCTGCGAATGCAACTAAATTAGTTCAATTTGGAATAACAGCAATTTATTCAAAGGACAGAATGAAGAGTAGACGAGGATATGCATATAATCCAGTGGAGATGTTCTTAAACTAAATGTGCAGAGATGCGTTTAGACCACTTCGTGAAATGGGTGAGGGTGAAGAGCTGTTCAATATTCATAGAAACAACAACAATCGCAGAGACCAAGAAGCTCGACTATTTCAAAGTCATGGAGGGGGCCATTTATCTGCACTACCAATGAAGACGCTGCACCGCGTCTGACTTGAGAAGAACAACTTGATATGAAGACTGTGGGGTTTGGCAAAACTTTAAAACTTTTGATCCAAAAATGTCTAGTCCGACGCTGGCATCGTCTGCCTAAGCCAACATAATAACTAACAGAACTGAGTTAGTCTCTTTGGGCTATAACGGAGTGTAGTCTTGTTTCTGAGTATGTAGTCACAGACGCAGGGCTATACTCAATTCCTATTTTTGCGTCTACATCGCACACCCTGCAAATGTGCGAAAACTTTGTGCGACATACGGTACCCCACACCTGCAGATTTTGGTCACGGCTAAAAAAAGAGAAACCTTCAGCGGAGCCTCCTCACACAGAGGTAAGGCAGCGAGCGGGCCAGATAGCAAGAGCCTCGCTATTTAAATGTATGCCAAATTAAAATCTACTCTTCCAGCGAGGCCATGCGCTGTGCACGAAGAAACCAACTCCAATGAAAAACAGAAACTAGCGCCGAGTGGTGGACCCCACTTTTGATTTGAAGGTATGTGTGTAGAATCTCCGATCGCTTAACACACCGCTGCCCATCTGCTTGTTTTCCTCGTACGACTGAAGGCGTACATTACCGCTGTCCAAAAATTGTGATGTACCAAAAACCAAACAAGGGAATGGGTTGAAGCTAATCGAACTCATCGAACCCGATATAAGATTCTCCTGTTAACCAGATTCCACCACAAGGGAATTCAGCAAACTACCTGGATGTTCCGGGTCGATAAACTTCCGACCACATTAATCATGTTGTAACCGAGAGACCACATCCCCCCCAGTGTTAACGGCGTGTGTACACTCCGAAGGCCAAACATCGACTTTACGTAAGCGTACATCATCAACTCGGTACGAGTGTGTGGGGGACGGTTTTTCAAGCTCCCTTCTTTAATGTTGTATACAGCGCCTAGGCAGTTATAGCCATTTTCGCCATTTATCATTAATTAGAGATACCACGTACAGCTAAGTCCTTATCCAACGAAGTGAGGGTTCTTGCTCTACCTCTACTGCCACCTGCTGGTACGGCATCGGAATCAAAGTTGAAGGGCTTCAACTGGCTAGCATACCTAGAATATTAGAGTGTCTAAGACTCAGCGCGTTCGCAAGCGGACGCCATTGACTGCGCTGGATGTAGCTCGAACCCTAACCAAGTTACTCACCTAAAGTCTTGCAATTCAATCGTACATTCTTCAGTCATAATCAGCTTGAGAATGTTGTGGGGTGCTCTCCGTGAGCTTTAAATCCACATATTGCATTAACATGGTTTGCGGTCTTACCCACGAGCTTGCATTATCGACATATAATCTGGAAGATGTACTTTTAGATATTCCTGTTCCTTCTTTAAATATTTACGTTCCGCTGGGGCACATGGCTGGGCACATCGTACAAATTTTGCCCTGGCAAATACCTCTGTCCAACTCTCACCTCCCGAAAGATATCATTACGTCCTCCGTTCCTAAAAAATTCCTGGGTAGACTTCGCTTTTGTACACCAAATCCAAACTTAAAGTCATTTATACTTAAATGAAACAGTTCAGAGCTTAATAAATCCATTTTCATTTCAAAAATTTTTATTTCCACTACAGACAGTTATTACAACAAAAATATTATATTTCGCTTGCTCAGATAAAGGTCTTCAAGAGGGTAATGTAAGAGCCCGCAGTGCTTACAATCTGGAAGAAAATGAAAACTCAAGTTTATATACTTTGATGGTTATGTAAAGCCCGCCCTCCCCCAAATACCCACCGATCGAAAAGCCGGCAGGGATGGTGTGAAAAATGGTACTGCAATAGTTTTGGCCCTCTGCGCACGACACATCATCAACAAGAGCATGCGACGCGTACGGACGTCGCACTTATACCAGTCCACGTCGTAAATAACCTCAGCGATGCTTAAGCTCTGGAAGTGGCAATAAACGATAATTATAAATTTTTATTCCTCCTCCTAATACAGCACAACTCACACTTTCGCTGACGTAAGTGCCACCAATGCAGTAGAGGACGAGCTGAGTCAAGGCAGCGATGCTATAGAAGATGTATATCAGCACCCCTATGGACGCGGAGTTCTGAGAAAGAAAATGAGAATTCGGGAAACCTCTTAGAAACATTAACTTTATTGAATGGAAAGACCTAGGAAACCCCTGAGAATGCAACTTGTATGCGAGTTTTTAGCAAAAGGTCATGAAGACTCTCACATAAAGATTATAAAAACTCAACTCATATTGGTGTATAGGGCTTGTCGGGTGGTTAGCATTGCATATTGCCATTGCAAAGACCTGGGTTCGGTTTTGACCAGTGTCTAAGTTATAGGAAATTAATTTTCCAATTGCAGTCGCCTGTCGTGCGTGAATGCCAAGCACACCGATTGCATTTCTTACATGAAAACTAAAGCTCCTCATTAAAACCCACCGATCGTTCAGAAGCAGCTTGAAATAAGCGGTAGGTTCCTCCATTTTTGGAAAAAACATTAAGACGCATACCAAAACATGGATGAGGAGCCTTACAAAAACTCGCTGCAGCGGTTATAAAGCGCCAATTATATTAATATATAGAGAGCCTTGGAGTGTTACCAGAGAAATCAGTACCACCTAAACCTCATCAGTACTACAAAAACTTTCAAAAAAATTCTGAGGCTGGTTCCGAAAGTCATACTGCGAGTGGTATTATTAGCAGCACACCGGGTTTTCGTTTGGCTCAAAATATATGTAGAGTTTGCAGAGTCTAGACTGTATTGCTGATCGTACATACGGTCCGCATCATCAGCTGGCTCGCCTTCTTTATTCCAGGAGCCCTCAGCACCGCTGCGCGACCTGTTTCTGCAGTGAGCTCCTTCATGTCAAAGTGAAATGTCGTTTCAGGCTCAATAAATCTTAACATCTTCGTTTGGAACCCACATTAGCGGACCTTATTCCGACCACATCCAGAGCTCTACTACCAATTGGTTAACCGAGTTTCATTACCGAACAATTAAAAAAGGGTTCCTTCAAAATGCAAGACATTTGCATAGCATATGCCCTGCCCTGCCCTGTAGAATGGCTGATGGTACAACTGGCTGAGCAGAGCTTTGATCTGATTCAACAATAGGTTGTTTGTACGATTTCGTTTACTTTTCATTCAAAATTGGAAGCATTAGTTTCTTGAACTTCATTGAGTCAAACTCAACCGGTAACTCAAACCAATTATCCGCAACTCTGTACGATCCAACACTATGCAAAGAGCTTGTACTTTGAACCTTAATTAAATCATATTGTAGAGGATGAGCCAAATAGAGTGTCTCACTGCACTTATTCCGTCTTTGAAGACTTTAGACAAGGCACTGCACAGCTGCACGCTCTTTATAGGATAGCTATTCGACACAGATGCTTACTTCAGCCGGTAAAGACTGGCTCTTGCAATGTGAACAGTGTCCTATGATCGGCTAGGGATAATTACAGGTCACTGGAGGTTGTGCCACTCCAAATATGGAAGGAGTCTAGAACTATAGGTAATCTTACAGAACATCTCATATTGGGCAGGCACGCTGACTGCGTACGGCAGCAATTATAGGGATGAGAAGGAACCTGTAACTTTACAACATATCCTTTGCAGTAGGTTAAACTTTCAAGAGCCTGCAACCTTTAGAGACCAGCACGCTGTACATTGATTCGACTAGCGGAAAATGGGCTCTACAGAACCTCACTGGTATCGCAGAGGTTTCCATCAGTTGCCTAAATATGCTAATGCTCAGGAAACATTGCAACTTGACGTAAACTTAAACCATCCTTCATGCTAAACAGCGTTTTAGAGCTGCATTAAAAAAACACACAAACCACAACCTCCTCCACGTACTCCCCACAACGAACTGTCACTCTCTCTTCCACATAAACTCACCAACATCAAATCCAAAATGCTAAAGCACAACACCAATGCCGCGGATAGGAAATGCATCAGGATGATGAGTGAAAATTCCGCTGCAAAATCGCTGCACAGATCAATGATTTTGTTGTGGCGCTCAACGAGCACCGACAATCGATGCTGGATCCGCATATTTTGTTCAAACGATGAAGATTCCTCTAGAAGCCAGCAACAACCAACCAGAGTCGGCAAAGAATGGCGCGGGACGAGAGCGTGCAATGAAGAAAAGCAAAGGTTAAATTTTTGTTAAGTGTTGTATAGTCCGGAGCACAGCGGAGGGCAGGGGAGGGGAGTGCAGTAGTATTGGGTTGGATGAGCAGTTTGTTAAAATTTTGTAAATTGAATCAATCACTATTTGGCATTGACTTAGAGAGGTGCGAGCGTAGTTAGTAAATTGTGGCCCTCGTTGGCGTGTGCATGTGTGATGCAATGTGTGTCTGTTGCTGGATACGAGGATGGAAATGCGTGATGGGACGTAGTTTGAGGGAGCGTGTGTAGGACAAACTCGTGCAATATAGGACTGCATGTGGATATTGACTTACACATTTTGTATGTATATATGATCAAGTGTAGAATAGATTGGTTCCTACTGAGTTCGGTAAACGGAATATGGACTGAAACCTTGAGACCTCCGCGGAAATTCGATTTAAGGACCTCTAGCCTTTCTTCGCCGAGTAAGCATAACTTTTGCCTGCCGAGTGGCTTTGCCTCGTTGTCATTACTTATCGTTACTTATTGGTCAGACGAAGATTACTTCTTGCTTTTAATGTGTTAGCCAAAGCTCAAAATTTTCCCACAGTTCAATCATTCAAGTGATGCCGTCGAGGGCCTAAAAACTGTGGAACCTAAAAGTTGACGCTTGAAAAAGATACCTGATTTAGATTGTGCTTGCTTAGGTCTTAACCCCCCCTTATCTCCTATCTCAACCGAACTCTCAACTTGACTGATATCCGACTTTACATGGATAGTGTGTCCGAACCGTCTTGATGAACTTGCATAGGCTGTGGTGAGTTAATATCCAACTTGAAAAGTAGTTCAGATATACTGAGCAGCAAGGAGAACACTTATATAACCCTAAATAGTATCACGCAAACATCTTGAGCAACGGGCTCAGACGCGCCATCTCATGGTTGAAAATGGTTCTCTCACCCAATATTCCGCACACGAAAGGTCTTCTCAATAAAGAGATTCTCAGATTTTGCTATGTGCATATATACGCGCTCTCTTTTGAGAGACGAAAACGAACTCCGACGAAGTGAAGTAAACTCAGCAGTCTATTTTTGTATCTTTCTCACTTCTCAGGAGAAGAGTGGCAGAACCACTAAAACAAGAATGAAACCAGCTCAAGGCTTTTGAGCAAAGCTCAGCTCACTTATTATTTCTTGAACCCATAATAAATGCCATCCGTCATGTAAGTGACAAAACTATTGTGTTACGCGAGGTGTTCTCGGACTATTTTAGGCTCACTGGAGACTATCTAATTGCTCGAGTGAACCTGTGGGGAGAATTGAGGTTCATCAATATATTTAATTTTCCATGACAGTGCACTTCTCGAATGATGCCATCTGTCTAACCTGAACTGATCAAACTTGCAAATATTGGCTTCGGTACCTAAAAGTTCTATATAGTTAGGTCCCACCACCTAACTGAGAAGGGCATGGTATCTTCCAATTCAATAACTACAACTCTGAGTTCTAAGCAGAGTTTGAGGACATTTCGGAAGGTGCCAAATGGCCAACCGCTTTACCAGGAGAATCTATCAGATTTCTGGATGGATGAGTTAGCTAGCGCTGACCACGCATGTGAGGTTCTCACCATTGACTGTCTCAGATCTTTCAACGCCTTCAGATGTTACTTAAGACAGTGGATATTAATGGTACATTTAAGTTACTGGAACGAAACCAACGTAAAGCTCACAAATTGATCTACTGTAGGATGGCGTGGATAGCGGTCAGACTGAAAGTGTTGCTAACACAAAGTAGAAGAGAACTTAGAATGCTTCGAATACCTCGTCTAACCCCTGAAGTAGGGGATTCTCAAAAAACCAAAACCGTTCGGAGGAGGAGCTCGGCTGAAAACCGTGTCAGCGAACACCACAGACGTTCACGATCATTTGTTGTTATGTAAAATAAAATCAAAGGTAACCAACCTCAGAGATGCCTTGATAGGCCATCAGCTAAATAATTACGAAATATTTCGCTGCCATCGAGAGAGGTAGACCTTGAACAAAACCTATGTTGCGGAGTAATAAATTTATTACTTTCTAGAAGACTGAGTCTAAATCTGAAGACGAACTCGGCACAGTTAACTTTCCTACATATAACTGAGCCGTAGATCCATTCTCTCTCTCCATCTCTCTCCCCTCTCTCTCTTTCCGCCTCTCTCTCTCTCCCATTCTCTTCCTCTTTCTCTCTCCCCTCCTCTATCTCTCCCCTCTCTCTTCCTATCTCTCTCTCCTCCTCTCTCTCTCTTCCTATCTCTCTATCCTCCTCTCTCTCTCTTCCTCTCTCTTCCTCTCTCTTTCTCTCCTCCTCTCTCTCTCTCTTCCTCTCTCTCTCTCTTCCTCTCTCTTCCTCTCTCTCTCTCCTCCTCTTTTTCTCTACCTCTCTCTCCCTCTTCCCTCTCTTTCCCTCTCTCTCTACCTCTCTCTCTCTATCCCCCTCTCCCTCTACCCCCCTCTCTCTCTAGCCCCCTCTCTCTCTAGCCCCCTCTCTCTAGCCCCCTCTCTCTCTCTACCCCTCTCTCTCACTCTTTCCCCCTCTCTCTCTCTCTCTCTCTCCAATAGCTGTCCGGAGCGAGTTTCATTTGGGGCAAAAAAATATTGGACTACCCTAATTGAAGTACCGCAACACTTAAATATGTATGTAGATGACTAAACGAAATTGTGTGCAAATTGTTTATTGATACATATATACATACATACATACACGTACATACATACATACATACACACATATACATTTATATGCATGCACCTAACACATTTTTCGTTTTTTACTCACGTTCTTGCAATTCAGCGAATGCATTACGTATGTCATGTTGCAGAATGCGAAACAATGCTGTCGCATACACACACGCACAAAGGAAGAATCCATCCACCGCACTAAAGGTGAACACAGTCATGGCGCCGGAGAGCGTCAGCACGAGGTATGTGGCTGGGTAATAAGGCAAATTGACGAGCACTTCCGGCAAGCTGCATGTAAATGAAGAAGGATGAAGCAAAGAGAGAGAGAAAATGCATGATAACGGAGTAAAAAACACATGCTTACATATATAAGTGGAATAAAATTGCATAAAATGGAAGTATAAATTTTCAAAATCGTTTACATTCATCTATTATATATATATATATGTACTATATGTGTATAAGGCAGGATATGTGTGCGAATTTCAACACTCACACTTATTTAAACACACACATATGTGTACATGAACTTATATATTTATATATATATATATGTATGTATATGTACACCATTGTTGGCTTCCATAATTTTCTGCAAAAAAAAGAGTGTTTTGTAGTAGATTTATTGAATTTGTTGTTGCTGGGACAGCTGCTTGTCATAAGTGCTGACTTTTCATTTTATAAATTACGTGAAACAGATTTTGAATTGTGAGTGCGAAATGTTTGGCAAAAAAGAATAGTAAATTGTAGTAGTCAACAAGAGCTTTTTTTTTGGTGAATTTAAGAAGAGTTTATTGTTCGTAGAAGAGGCGAAAGGCTACATTCATATATAGATACATATAATATCATATTAATATAATTTAGTACGAATAGCACCGATGAAGCTGTGGACTATCGAGATACTTGTAAATACATATTTTATATGACTTCATTCATACAACCCAACGAAAGGAAGGAAACAGCAAAACAAGGAAAAAACTAAACAGTCAATGTTGTCCGAATGAAGAAGAACACTCCCGTTTTGTTGGTTTCAGAACAAGTACTTGGCAGTGGAAGCAGCAGAAGTGAAGGACCTTCACTTCCTTGGATAAGTCAGGTAGAGACTACCCTCAATTGATTCTTCAACGGACGTCTAAAATTACACCGAGCGTCCAAAATGTAAGCTTCATGTAAGCTTCTGTTTGGAAATATGATAGCCTATCTTTCGCCCACAGCTTCGTCCATACGGTATTGCAAAAGAATTCCAGTAAGACTTTTAATAGTGTTTTTAAGTTATTTCATTTACATCCACATATACATGCTTCTTCTTTTTTGTTGATGTAGACACCGTCTAATCGAATATGGCCGAGTTAACAGCGCATCATATATTTATAATATAATAGACGCTTGGTAACCACTGGAGCGACTACAGGCTGAGTTTCTCTCCTATTTGTGGTAGGCGTCTCGATGTTTTCCCAATAAATGGAGGGACCTGCCTCCGAACGGCCTCCGAACGGCTGAAGATTTTTTATGAGGAGCCTTTTTGTCATACACTCGGAAGGTTGGACATTCTCGACCGAGGGGCGACCGCAATTGGAAAATATGGCTAATTTTTTACTGAAATTAATTTTCTATAACTTTTGAATGTTGGTCGTACCAGGATTTGAATCCTGGCCTTCCGAATGGCAGTGCTCAATGCTGACTACTCGTCAATTAGAAACCCCTCTTTTAAGCAGGACCTTCTCCACCTGATATTTCCAACGAAGCGCAGGTCTTCCTCTTCTTCTGCTTCCACCGGCGGGTTCCGCATTGAAAATTTTCATAGTTGGAGTACTCTAACACTTTCAGACTACTACCTCGTACAGTTCATCGTTCCATCGGCTGTGGTATTCGCCATTCCTAACTACAGAGGAACATAAATCTAACGCAAAAACTCCTATCTCAGACTCATCATATGTTGTCATCGTCCATGCCTTCGAACCATATAGCAGAACATGGACAATGAGGGACTTGTAGGGTTTGGTTTTATTCGTGGGAAGAGGACTTTTCTTTTCAATTGCCCATTCCGTCCAAAAAAAAGCACCTGCTGGTAAGAGTGGTTCTGCGCTGGCTGACAATGTTTTTAGTGTCAATGCGGGTCCCAAGATAGACGAAACTATCTACGGTTTTAAAATTATTCCTGTTAGCAGTTACATGGGAGTCGAATCACGAATGCGACGATTGCTTACTGATATTTGGTCTTGTCTTTATTTACTACCAGGCCCATCCGCTGCGCTTTCTTATCCAGTCTGGAGAGAACAGAGTTCATGGCACGATTGTTGCAGCATGTGAAATCTGTCATATATGTGGAACCAGTGGAGGGTTTACAGCTCGCTTCCGTCAGGCTAATGGAGACTTTAATTCCATACTAGGAATGCTCTATAAGGAGAAGTCATTCTCTGCCGAGAGGAGACCGCAGTTAGAAGAAACTTTTTCTAAAACATCGATTTAATCGACAGCAGCTGTGCACTCTTATGGATTAAATTGAATTTTCTCTATTCAGATTTACAGCTCGTTTGATATCGAACGGCTCGGAGAGGTCCTTCCTGATACTGTCGAAGCTGTTGGTATCAGTTTACATAGCCGTACAAGTTTTATAAGGATACCAAACCCAGACATATAGGCGTAAAAGCAGCTCCTATTCGTGCTGTCGAAGGCCGCATTAAAATCGACGACGAGATGCGGTGTGACGACCATCTTTTCAAAGGGTCCCAGATTTAGCGAAAAGAAAATATATGGTTAATGGTGATAAAGTCCAGTTAGTTGGTTGAAACTGACCTTAAGTCTTTCACACAGTATCCTTATATAATGTTGAGGATACTTATTCCCCAGTGGATTGGATGGATCTTTGGGGATTGGACAGAGCACACTTAGGTTCCAAACGAGTATGTTTTCATTCGACCATATTCTGCTAGCAAGCTGAGCGGTACACCGATTTCTTTGTAGCCACATTTGCATTTCTCATCCGGCGGTCCATAGGCATCCACCCCTTTGTTGTTTTTCAGGCGAGCACTGGCTTTTCGAACTATTTTATAGTCGGGCAATGATGTATCTCTCCGTTCAACAGACTGGAGAAATGTTTCCTCCGTAAATTCAATATACTGTGGGCATCAGTAGTAAGACTACCTCTCCAGGTCCTATATGATTTTGCTTAGGTTTTTAAACCCTCTATAAGTAGTACGGTTACAATAACAACATCAACAAGCGGCCAAAAGACACGTTTCATACACTTTCGAAACTTTGAAATCATAAAGGGTTGAAGAAGACAAAACTGTTCGAACCGAGAGTACGCAGGAGCGTAATGAAAACAGCCACAAAGTCTAAAGTTTGTTTGAGAGGGACGACAAAAAAATTCTTAGAGCTGTACTGTGCCTTGGAGAAATTTGTACAATAAGAAAAGACACATATCGAGTAGGAATAACAGCTTTCTTGAGCCTCTCAATACCATAGTTCTTTGGGATCCTCAAATATTACGTCAAAACATCTTAAAGAACTATTGCGAAAAACTTCTCTGGCAGAGGCCGTATCTTAAACTGCTATGGTGGATTCACAAGCTGTCGACAGCTTCTCATTGATACTAGTGCTTCCTACTTTTGCTATTGTACTTTTTTATACGAAAGTTTACATAACAAGAATTAGTTCAAGTGCGAGAACATCAGTACACGATATCGCGATCAAAGATTATAATGTAGTTCTAATTGCGCTCTCACTCGCCTCAGTGTATTTGAAAAAAATACACTTAAAATCTCAAAATTAGAATTTAAAATCTCGATCGACTAATAGCCGAGTCGGTATCAATGCGAACTAATATCTTAAAGATCAAGCCTTCGTATGCTAGTGGGACCAAAATTATATAAAAAGTTTATTCAGCAGGGAATGCCCAGCCACCGGGGTGTTTTCCTTATATGAAATTCAAAGCTACTCCTAAAACTCCTTTAGCCGTATGGACCCGTAACCTAAAATAAACTGAAGATTTCTTCATTTCACATGCCTCAACAATCCCGCCTCAGATTTAGCTTGCACCAGACTGGATAAAGGAGCGAGGCGAATGGGTCTGTTAGTGAGTGAGGATATCAAACAAAGACTTCATAGTCACAGATGACAGTAATAATTTTGAGGTCGTAGATAACTTCGCCTCTTTTGGAACCAACATTAGCACCAACAACAATTTCAGCCTTAAAATCTAACACAGAATCACTCTTGCTGCTTTGAAAAGTAAACTCCTCTGTCTACGAACAAACACCAAACTCTACAAGTCGTTCTCTCGCACAGCCGTATGGTGCAGTAGCGTGGGTGTTAAAAACATCCCAAGAGTCAGGTGTTTTCGAGAGCAAGGGCTGTAAAGTCTGTCTGGAGTTTGTTTTCAAGTCTCTTTATATTGAACTGCTGTGAACATCTCAAAAACTAACTTTCCCTTCAAACGCGATGTTCGCCTCTGAAGGTATGATTCAAAACTTCTATGAAGTAGTTACAAATATTCCCCGAGCTAGATCGATGCAGGGCCGAAAAAGAAACGATTTAAATGAATACAAAAATAAAAATTTCCAATTCAAATTTCAATGTCTCCTCGCCAGCAAAACTCATTGCAAAACACTTGAAAAATCCTCCAAACACACACACACACTCTCACATAGATCAACTTACATAACATTGAAGGGCAACAGCAACTGCATATCCAACGCCCTCCACTTGAAGTAAGCCATTTTCAGCAGCGGCAAAACATTGAAAAACGTATTCGTGAGCGAACCCGATGCGAGGAGGACAAACGATAACACCGAAGCGAACGAGGCCAGTGGCTCCATGATGCGACGCTTTCCGGCGCTGGTATCTGTGAGTAGTGAAGTATGTTGAAATGCTGCTTAACACTTTTCAAATCAACTAGAAACTCGCAAGCACACTCATCGCCCGCGCGCGCGCTCCAGACACTTACCCAATAACAACAATGTGTGCAAACCATGAATCACACGCTGCCAACGCTCGTGGCGACCAAAGAAAATTGTCATTTTCAATAGTGAAATGACCTTCGTAACTCCCGGACAGAATGCCTCCAGGGCGCTAAAGAGATCGTACAGATAAAAGAAACCGTAGGTTACCTCACCGAAACCACCAACAGCCACCGCAAATGTATTCACGCAGAAACGTAAAACCGTTAGCCAGGTGCGTGGCCGCACTGCTGGCTGTGGCCAGAAACCAGCGATGCGCGCCGATATGCGTGGTATACGAAAGAAGCTCTGCTCAATGGGCACTTGTGAGCCCAATAAAGGCTGCAACATTTTAGGTGCTCGGCGTGAGCGCTCGAGGGAGAGTGTGCAGACGTCACGAAATAACAGCACCAACAACAATAGTGACAATCAGGCGGGTGCAAAAGTGTTGGAGCTTAGCTGGTGGTGCACGAGTTTTTCACTAACGAATGCAGCTAATCGAAATGTCAGAGTTTATTTTATAGGCGAATGTGAATTGTGGATTTGTGGCGTATTTGTGTGTGTGTGTGCTCAGAGCGTGCTCTTCCACGCAACATTAGTTGCTGTTACTCGCAGCATTTGCTCGCACAAGCATTTGGGTACCGCCCTCAAGCAGTGCGAGTAATTACCAACCATACGAGCAAACTAAACGAGACTGCGTGGTTTGTATGTGACGTGGTGGCTGTGTGACTATTAATAATAGTGTGTGCTTGAAAGTTGTGTAACTTTTTAAGTGGGTTTTCAAATTCATAACAATATTTTCTAAATTCAAAATAATAATTAAACATTTCTATACAAATTTCCATTCAGTGAGAAAACTTTTAATTGCACATATTTATTATACAAAAAAGTTCCTAAACAAATTCCAAGTGTTCCACAAGTTCATTAATTTTTATATGAGCTAATTGCGTATCGTTCTGGCTCTATTGACATTTTTGGAGTCTTTGGAGCCGACTTATTGTTAATAATGGACTGAGAGAAGAGGTAAAACTCTCATTTAAGAGATCCGCTTCTCATCTCCGAGAATAGGTGTTCCTCGGCTCGTGTTTATGAATCACCTAACACATTCAATCAGATTACCGTAGGTTTTGCAGAACTACGATTGGTTAGGACTTTTTGGGTGGCCAACTGTATTTTAATAGAAATGACTGTATTTAAAGACATGGTGGAAGTCTACTGAGAAAAACTTCGCATCTGCAAAATTTTTTGACGGCCAAATTACAGTATCGAAATACTAAGTAAAGCTAGAACATAGATGGGTAATGGGTAATGTTTTCCAGTATGGAAATAGTAAGTACAGCCAGAACATTACCCATCTGGTATTTCTAACAGATTCTCTTCTTCCTTTGTATGCCCCGCCATTTACTGCATCGAAAACTTTAGAAACTGGAGTTTGCTTATCCATCCGCGCTACTGAACCTGGCCTATAAAGCCGCTGTCTTTGATTCGCAGAACTACGAGACGTATGTCAGTGTCAGTGCAAAGAGCCATAAGTCTTTGAACTGCTTAGGCGGAATAGTGCTCTCGATGATCCAGATAGAACTAAGAGTCCTGGAAGCTATCATAATCAAAATTGCTAAATGCCTTGTGCAAGTAGTTCCCTCCAAACCTAGTGTGGATTCCAGCACACAATAGCATACCAGGCAACGAGATCGAGTCTGGACATTCCGCACACCACTTATTAGCTGAACATAAGTGAATCTTTCGTCGTAGATGCGAGTTCAAGATATATTATTGCCGTCTTGGAAGGCCGAGAGAGATGAAAAGGGATGTTCGGTATCACGGATCTTCTGATGGGGCATCTCCTGTTAGATGGACACGAAAAAAACAGTGTATAAAGCCTATGTGTCTTGACTTGAAACTTTAAAGCACTTTCTTTGCAGAATTTCCAACACTTTAGAGGAGGAAGTTGAAGTCTCTAGCAACCGCAACCTTTAAAAACTTGGGCGAAATAGCGAGGGTGAAGTTCTATCGACTGCTGTCTTTTTTAATAGCTAAGCTTCATTTAGTTTTGGAACGCAATATAAGGCTTGGCTCTCTTGGGCATTTGCTGACGGGAGATATCTTAAGCAATCTATATCTCAAAGTATTTTTCCCCAGAGGAAAAGACAAAAACTGGTGGTCGGGTGACAAGCAATGCCAGTGACAGTAGGTACTTCAGCGACATCTACTCATCCAAAAGACTATGCCGAATAACTTAGGGACTCAAAAAACCAGGACTCAACCAAAACCAACCAAAAATAGAGCAGAGAAGTCTTCTTTCATATGAAATGCGCAAAGATCATGATAAACTGAATCAAACATCCAGACTGAAGGAACTAGCCTAGAATAAACAAAAGCATCTTGGAAACATTGCAAATGGATACTAGACATAATAGTTTTGATTGCCAAAAAACCGAACTGATAATAGCGGCTTATAATAATAGTCGAGAATGAAGAAAACACGAAAAAGTTCCTGAAAGATTCGTAAGTGGGTCCAAAGCGGGTCTCTAGTACCTCAGACAACCATATTTCGGGCCACGGCGAAGTCTAACAGCCTTGGCCGGTTCGAGTATGTTTCATGTTGGAGGCTGACTTTTTTGGCACCTTTAGATTAGTTGGTTTGAGAGGGCATGTGAAGAGGTGGTTAGCGTCGTGCGGAGACTCTCCACACGTGGGGCATACGTTGGGTATGCTGGGGTCTAGTCTGGATAAGTAGGAGCTTAACCTGCTACAGTATCCAGACCTGAGTTGTGTCAGGGTCTCGCGGGTCTCTCGAGGCAGCTCGAGCTCGTTGTCTGCTATAGGTGGTGGTACTTCTGCGAGTACGCCATTCACTGGAAGGGAGTCCTTGAAGGTGTTGACTAGCTCCTGGTGAATGGCGTTCAGTGCTTGTCGGTACGCCGTCCTGTCCAGCGGTTGTTCTACGTGTTGCTGGATTGTGTCCTTTAGGTCTAGTACTCCCTTTCTGATGTGCCTAGGTGGAGGTTCAGCTTCTATTAGGTGCCTACTGGGGTGCTACCGCAGGAAAACGCAAGTCAGGCAGCTAGAAATAGTTCTTATGGTCCTGAGGCTTTAACAGACAATCATGCACAATTATAGTTTCGTCGATTTCATTCCGGTATTATTGATGTAAAATATGCTCCTTGGAAGGAAAGGCCAGTTGGTAAAAATCACGATAAAATAATGAAATCGTCAGTATTTTCTCGACCTAAACATTGCACAAAAAACGGGTTTCAACGACTTGAAAAGGGCTGGATACACATGAATTGGTGCTCACTTGCCAAAAAAATCGACCCATTTTGAAGCGGATGGTGAGTGGTGACGAAAAGTGGATCACTTACAGCAATGTCAAATGAAAGCGGTCCTGGTCGAAAAGGAGTGAGCCGCCAAAACGCTTTAGATGTGTGTGGTCTTTCCTTATATGAATTAAGAAATACGTAAATTATTACCATCCTAACAATTTATCATTGATGACTAGATATATCCCGTGAAGAAACTTTTCAAGATTAACACATTGCATTTGAAAGGAATTCGGACTTGCACTTACAGCAATTGAGTGGTCTGAATTAAGCAATCGCTCAAAATCGCCCAGCCTTACAGGAAGAGATTAGTGTTTCAACAGAACAACACCAAAACACGTGGGAAGCTCCGTGGAAGATGTTACATGCATCCGCCTTATAGTCCAGACTTCGCATTAGGTAATTACTTTTCCATCTGATCCTGTCTATGGTAAATAATTTGACTGGCGCAAAATCGCCTCAATAGAAGCCTGTGGAAGTCGATTGGTCCAATTTCTTTCCAAGAGGGAAATAGATTTCTAAGAGAGAGGAAAAATGGCATTGCTTTTGGAATGGCAAAAAGTTATCGACCAAAATGGTGCATATTTGACATAAATCGTTTAATTCTAAACTAATATAAAATAATGGATTCCTTTTTACTAGGCATATTTTGTCAGTAATTTCCCACTATAAATCCGTCAACACATTTTCGCTCTCTTATCTGGCCGCGGTAGTAAATTTCACAAGAACTCACCTTCATATCATCCAGTTTGGCAGCGACACCACCAATTAAGTGGCCAGATATTTTAGGTACATGCCCTCAATTTGAGATCCCTTAAACGATTGCGGTGATCCTTCTCATTCTAATTCACCTCCAAACGGATGTTTTCATTTGTCTCAGTATGATTTTAATTCAATCTCTGAATATTGTAAGTAAATAATTATTCATCTCAATTTAACTAATCGAATTGCCTTTCATTCATTATTACTATTATATAATTAAGAAAACGCTCTCATTGCCTCCAACTGGCTCTCTCAGTTTCAATTTCAATCAAAATCGAATTTAAAATTTCAAATAATTATTAATTTCTCAATGTAAATCTTCATATATATCCCTGCAGGGAAAGTGACTGACGATTATCTAACGAATTCGATAGTTACTAATGATGGTAGATAGCTACCGTTAAATCTACTCTCAATACATTAAACTGTAAAATTTTGGATGTTGGTGGCACCGGGATATGAACCCGAGCCTTCCGAATGTCAGTACGCAATGCTAACTAATCACTCGACTACCGCGGCCGCATGATTTATGGAATATACCGAGTCATGATTGGTTAGCGTTTGTTAAGCGTCGAGATTTGAAACTCCTCAGGCACAGAAAAAATAATTATTCAGCAGCTGAATTTTAGTAATTATGGATTTTTAAAATTAAATTTTTAAGACAAGTAAAATAGTTTCTTTCGATGATAAAAATTGACTCTGAGTGATCGAAGGATCGGCGAAAGGGTTCATTCAATTCAACTGACGGCCTAGATGCACGAGTTGGAACATTAAAGTTTACTTCAGATAAGAGTCATAAACCGTAAAGAAGTTTCACTACAAACAATGCGCCAGACATTTCTCTACAACTTGCGAGATTGAGTAGATTCCTCTCAAAAGTCGTATAAAGTGCTTTACATAAGCGCCAAAAGCATTTTAAGCTTTTAAGACAGCGGCATTAATATGAAGATGGAAGTCGTGCTTAGGGTCCATCATAACCCCCAAATTAACAAAGTTGAAGGATTGCTCTAGACTACTGTCATTAATTATATAAGGAGATGGCTGAACAAGTCACCGTGAAAAGCACCTGGTCCAATACTTCTTAAGATTCAAAGGCATGACGTTGTTATCACACCAGATGGCAAAATTGTCTAGATCGTTTTTTAACAAAAGTCCTTGAAGTACCTTGAAGGACACCTGATGAGGCATTAATTAATTGTGACAAAGCGTCGTCAAATGTGTTGTGTTCTATTGCAGAAATACTAGGTAACCCATTGAAGAAACCTTGGT